AAAAAAAACCCACGAAATCATACCCCCGATATTTGATTTCAAAGGGGGGACGCGCGCGCGTTGGTTCCGGAGGGCCCAGTAAAGAGTGAGGATTATTCACTAGCTACTCGTGATTGCGGTATGGGGACGTGAATGCGGTACGGTACCGTAGTACGGTGTGGGGACTACGCCCCTGCAAGATTCAGATCGCGCAATACTGTATTTAAAAATTCGCGCAAGGCAAGGTGTCATGTGATCAGCGCCGGGTGTGAGCACGAATACTACGCGTTTCGTAACAATTGAAATCGGCTGAATGACCGAATCGATTCCCCTCAAAACAAAACAAAATGGTCCGAGGTGATTTAATTATGAATCCTGGCCTTTCAATCATTAATGCCATCCAAAAACTAGCTCAGTAGAACCTCGTRGACTTTMTACTGGGACATTTTGAAGTTCATAACTTCAAATGGAAGTTTAGAACTTGAAATTATTACTTTTTGCTCTCTTTCGAGGCCGGTTTCAATTGTTACGAAACGCGTAGTATATCCTCTAAATGTTTTTGTTCTCAAGTTGAACACGAAAAGCAACGAGATCGATTAAGTGTAAGCTATTGGAATAAACAGATGAAGGAAAGTGCCACCATCACACGTGATACTAAAAACATCATTTTTGTCTTTGGCTATTGCAGCTTAGATACATTCTTCGGCCTATTACCACGAAACCCGAACAGCTTGTCAACGGAACCTTCTCTCTGTGTAACAAACAGATTCTTTCGGAGCATGAATGAACATTTACTAAAAACATCAATCTATCAATCTTGGCTATTAGAATAAGTCGATGTCTTGATTTGTGTAAGTGAGTTGCTTCAACGGGATGACAGAACAGCTTGTCAACGGAACCTTCTCTCTGTGCCGATTACAATAAATGATTAAGAAGATTAGTATAAACAGATTCTTTCGGAGCGAGAATGAACAGTTACTGAAAACATCAATCTATCAATCTTGGCTATTAGAATAAGTCGATGTCTTGATTTGTGTAAGTRAGTTGCTTCAACGGGATGACAGAACAGTTTGTCAACGGAACCTTCTCTCTGTGCCGATTACAATAAATGATTGAGAAGATTTCCGGATCTTTCATCGCGGCAAGGAAAAGATGAAGATCTTGCAGAAATCAACGAGAACCGCACGAGGTCAACAGCACCGAAACATCGACAACACGATAACACGGTTGGAGAGGAAATGATTTCTTTCCTCCCACCCTTCTTCCCACAAAACCTAAAAGCAAAGCTTTCAAAAAGCAAAACGCAAACATCAACCTCCTATTGTTGCAATATGAACTTCTCCAAAATCGTCGTCGCTGCCCTCAGCTTCAACTGTTCACCTTGGTTTGTCCAAGGAGCAGCTAAGCCTAAGGTAGGACTGTGGGAGCTCCATCCAATCGGAAACTACGTCATGAGCCCTACTTTTGGTGTGATTACAACAGACAATTCTGGAAGTGATCCTGCGATCAATGTTGTTCTCACCGTCGAAGGGAGCTTTCCTACTAGCGATGATCACCCAACGATTGAGGTGTTTTCAGGAGTCGCAGACGGCGAGGCATGTGCTAAAGGAACCAAGATTGCAGAAGGCGATAAAGGCCTCAGCTCTTATTTTACTTTAGTAGAAAAACCTGAAGGTTACAATGAATTGATGGTTACAAGCGATGGAAGTATTGGTACGTTAGGCCAGTATCAACAACAGGTAGCTTTCTGGAAGGGTGTTTGTGATGGGTGGGTGCCATGAAATTAATCCTCATCATACTCTTCCTTTGTGCTTCCATTGCACTGCTGTTCTTAGGTAAAGCTCATTTCTCTATGAACCTACATGATTCTTCGGTATGGACAGAGTTTAATGGGGACAACCCGGATATTGGTACTTTTGACGCTTGTGCTCGCATTACCAAGAAGCACGATGACAAGTATGTCTCCTTTGTTGATACATCGATTAAGGTCACCATTGATGCAGAAGGGAAGTTCCAGACATTTGAGAAGGCCATTACGGTTGTGGGCACCAGCATGAAATCATTGGAAGAAAATAAAACAAAGGAAATTGACCTGGACTCCTATCTGTGTGGTCCATCTGATTCTGCAAACCCAGGCCGCAACTACAAGATTGGCCAGAGCTTCTCCATCTGCGTTGGTCCTACTGAGGCAGAGAAGAAAAACTATGACTATATTGCCGTGGTTGGATTTAAAGAGGTTACATGTGCCGAGACAATCAAGGTGGTGGAAGAAGGACAGGCGAAAGCACTGACAACCGTCACTAATCCCGAAGGTTACAAGAGGGCCGGTGAAGTCACTGTTGGAACGGGCTTTTCGTCTTTTGAAACCGTTGTGACTCCCGAGTATCATACTGGACTTATTGCACCCAATCAATCTTCGGTCAGGTGCTCAGGCACGGTGGAGCTGAGCTTCACCAAACCATTAAAGTTTACGCAGGTGGGATGCACAGAGGACGTCTCTCTTGGAAGAACTGATTACGACACCAAAGCTGATGGGGCCGAACCTGATGTGCAAACGTGCAATGATCACTGCCATACCAACGGATATACGAACTTCATACTCGTTTGCCCCCACACAAGTTTTAAGTCTGGGAATAAAAGAATGAGCTGCTCCTGCACCAATAATAACTTCAGAGACGGAGTTGACTGTGAGATGCGTGGTCTTTCAAAGGCTTACCAATGTGACTTGTCTCTAGTCAGCAGTGACTATATGTTTGGAGTCGGCAATTCAGTAGAAATCGACGGCACAGAGCATTCGTTAGAATCCCCAGTCTACAAAGTGGTGCCCCCACAGCGCCGTTTGACCGCCAGCTTCTCAACCAACAGTGGCGATCTCTTGCAGCGCCACCTCCAAGAAAGCGGCAAGGAGGTGGACACCAGCGGCTCCTTCGGAACCGAGGTTCTTCTTTCACGAGAGGACAATGTGGATGCTGCCTTTGGCGATCTTGCGGCTCCGGCAGCTGACACCGGAGCAGTGCCAAGCACCGCAATAGCAACTGCCGCTGGTGCCGTTGTTGTTGCCGCTGCTTCCCTGGTCTGAGCAGACAACAAGCTTGAAGCGACACCAATATTACACAAGAGAGAAAAAAAACTGCATATTCCCATTACCAACCAATACATGTTCAGGAGCCAAAAGATACACGGCTGCGCTGCCCGGCCCGCCCATTGAGGCGTAAAATAAAATCAAAGAAAAAACAAAAACTGCTATCCAGCCGCCCCTCGTGGCGTGAAACAAAACAAAAGAAACAACAAAAAAACAGTTGCATGTTTACATGACGAAACAGTACCGTAATTATTAAGTTCTTAGTAAAAGTTTGTTATGAAGTGAAAATACAACGTACAGAACGAAGTACGAACTTCAAACGTATTCGTGGTAGTTCTGTCATCGCCCGAAGACTGAAATGCTCTATAGAACGGAAATGATGAAATTCCTTCGATAAAACATACTGCAATAGTTTGTTAATCAAAAGTATGTAGCTTGTTAAGTACAAGTAATAATTCCTTGCGCAGCCCTCCTTCACATCTCGCTCGGACGCTTTGGGAAGACCCTGATGCTTCCTCCGTCGACCAGGGGCTCGAGCGTTCTAGCCCAATCCGCGCTCGCGACGGTGCCTTCCCGGGCCTTGGCCTTTTTTCCACCCATCATCGCGAAGTAGTTCTTGTTGGGTCGCTCGGTCCAGTCAATCCCGTCCCTCGCGGCCCGTTCCGTTCCGCGAGGGATCACCCGCACCACCCGGAGCGTGGGGGTACCGGTGGGTGCGCTGCCGGTGTCGGCGTCGACGTCCGTACCGGGCTCCTCCGTCGGTGCAGGTGGTGTGGTGGGCAGCCGGAGGGCGCACTGGACGCAGACCTCCGCCAGGTCCTGCCGCGACAGCGGGAGGCCCTTGGCCGAGTCGGTGGCAATGTAGTCGGCGGACGCCGCGGCTAACCGGGCCCGGCTCCCGTTGTCCCCCGAGGGCCCGCCGCCGCGTCGTTCCGCGACGGGATCCCTCCGGACGGATACTGCCTGCAGGAGCTCCCCCTCCAGGTCCTGGGGCCGGAGGGATTTCCAGGCCGTATCCTCTCCCTCGTTGCCCCCGAGGATCGTTCCGTCCTCCGGCGACACGAGGGTGACGATGCTGTTGTCCCCGTCCATCGCCGATATACATTTGTTCAGCGCCTTCGCACAACGGGTCGTGTCGCTGCTTTCGCAGACGACGAATACCCTGGAACCGCGGGACATGGCGGATCGAACGAGGTCGACGTCCACCCAGCAATCCGACTGCATGCTCTTCTTCTTCTTGTTCGATCGCGGCTTGTTTTTGGGTGTGCTGTTTGGCTTGGGCTTGGATCCTCCCCCCAGGAAACCGGAAAGCAATCCCCCCAGACCGGTCTCTCCGCTTCCGGCGCTGTTCTTTCCCATGCCACTGGTGGTGGCGTCCAGAAACAGTACCGTGTCCTGCAAGTCGGCCAGCCGCGGTTTAAGATAGGACATTTTCGTAAGCAGGTCCTCCCGCTCGACGATTCCCTCGCACGTGGCCATTCCAAACTGCTTCCACAGCATGTCGTCGAGGTCCTTTCGCTGGTCTCTGGAGCTGCTCGCCACGACGGGCTTCGGGAGGAGCTCCCTCGTGTCTTTGTCTCCGTGCACCACGGCGGTGGCCGGCCCCACTAACCCCGATCCGTACAGGGAGGTTGCCCGCTGGAGCTTGCCGTAGAGAAACTTGGAAACGTCCCCGCTTCCGGTGAGACTGACGATCGGCCGCTTTGGTTTTCCGGACGACGACAGGGCTTCGGTGGCCGGGAACGAACTACTTCCAGTCGATATCGCGCATGCCGCAACAGCGATGAGGAGCAAGCAGGGGCCCGCGAGGCATTTGCGGAGCATCCTTCCTTGATTGAATCGGCTGGTTGCTCTTTTAGAAAACAAGGTTGGGAGTTGTGAAACAGTTGCAGTCACGACGGGTCATGCATTCGATGGCAAAAGAGACTATTGGGCACGAGTGTGGTATGCACGATGCACGATGCACGATGCACGATGGACGATGCACCTACGTTACCAGTCTGTTGTCAATCGAAAAAAAATCTTGCGGAAGATTGATTGAGATGACACGGAAGGAAACGTGTAGCTTGAAGTTTTGGGAGACTTCGGGGGGGGGAGAAAATAAATGATATTCTAGTATACCTACCGTACTGTAACCCTCCACACGTATACTGGAATTACTTCATTACAGTATAATACTAACAAGAAGAAGGGGATCCGGAAGTCTCAGATCAATCGACCAACAAGTTTTTTTAAATTAGAGTTTTCCATATCAGTATCATAGCATCATACGTACAAATCAGTACGTACTACCAAATGACCTAATCGTACCTACCGGTACGAGTACGAGTACGTAGTACGAAAGAGTACGTACTCGTACTCGTATCATATTTTGATCGATTCGGTTTTGCTCGCAAGCCCGCATGCGCTTTTTGATCTGAATTTGGTTTTTGGCATGTAGAGTACTTCTACCGAATTTCATTTTTCGTAATGCTGGGACCTACCGTGAACCCGAAGAGGACAATGATGACTAGTGAATAGTAGTCCTTGCAGGCGTTTCATCCCACAAGAACAAGATAGAGCTACTTAGAAAAGGGAGAACACTCTCAACTACAGTTTTTACGAAAAGAAAAAGATCGAATATCGAATACTACGGATTGTTCCAACAGCGGGTGGTGTTGGAAGAGCGAAACAAAACCGACCAGAACATCGCACGAGGAGAGAGAATGGGCGATTCCGCTGTTCTGGGACTTACCCGCCATGCCGCATCCAGGCCGGCCCACAAAACCTTCCGGGTGCTGCGGATGGCCGCCATCGCGGCGGCAGTGCTTGCCACTCTGTGCTCCGTCGAGACGTCGGTATTTGTGGCGGTGGGCACGGGGGCAGCGCTTGGCTCGGAAGGTACTGCCGTTGCACCGCTTCCCGGAACGCCGGTCGCGACACGCAACCACCATTCTGCTACTCGGGATTTAGCCTCGCACTCCTTGGTGATCGGTGTTCCGGGATCGGACGAATTGGCGTCGCCATCGCTGGCGTTGTCTTCCCTCCCCACACACAACCAAACCGCCACCGCCGAGCGCATCGCCGAGAGGGAAAAGCCTCGGTATCCGTGGAACTGCATGTCGCGGCCGGGCACCGGGCCCCACCAGCTCCTTGGAATCCTGCTGGTGGGCAAGGCCGACACGTCGACGATCGGGGACTGGCTCCACCGGCACCACGGCCTCTTCGAGATGCTAGTGGCGATCGACGGATCGGAATCCCACTCCGTCCGGCGGCTGCTGGAGAACTACCCAAACGTGCGGCGCCTGGAGGAATCGGAAGCGCTAAAGACCGCAAACGTGGCAAGGATCACGGACCAAACCATCCGGAAGCCGGCCATGGCGATCCTCGGCAACCCCGTCGGCTGCTGGGTGATGGTGTGCCATCCCGACGAGTTCTGGGTGGTCGATCCCAGGGAGCTGACGAGGCACGTTGCCGCAAAGAACGGCACCGATGACAAGGCTCCCTACAACGTCATCAGCCTCTCGGTACTCACGGCGAGCCCCTTGGAAAGCGAATACCACCAATCGGTACGGGGGTTCGGGAATCGGGTTTCTTTTCCGGATCCCCGTGTCGGCAGCGATGGGACCGGCGATGCCTTTCACATCATGGACGTCTCCCGGTTCACCTCGAGGCACCACAAGCGCTACAAAGAAGAACGCTTCGTCCTCTGGGAAGAAGGGATGCGGTGGGGAACCGGCCACAGCAAAACGGTCCCGAAACACATGCCCAACGGCGGGCAGCGGACCTTTCTTTCCGACGAGTATTTCTATGTCCACTTCAAGATGCACGACTTTGGCTCTGCGGCTTTGGGAGCGGCGGTGAACGAATCGACGGGCCGGTTCGTCCGCTCCGGGCTGAACACGGGGCTGAAGGCTGCCAGCCACAAGGGCTGGAGGGGGACCTTTCTGGACGAAACGGAACCCGATCGGGTCTCGAGGTTTCCACCGGAACCGCTATCCTCCGCCATCGACGAGCGATGCGATTCGCTCCGCAAGGCTGCCACGAGTGACCCCGTTTCGCCCACCCAGGGTCGGGGGTTTGGGATTCCTCTTTGCACCCTGCCGTGGAACGTGGATGCTTCCTTTCGTGGACGACAAAGGGTGTCGGCGACGGAACGACTCGGTGGGTGACCAAGCGACAAGAAACCCACGCAGCGAATCCATCCATAGATCCACCAGGCGGCCACCCTTTTGGTTTTTGAGAGAAAAAGAAGTAGTACTGTGCTGTGCTGTGCTGTGCTTGGCAGAAGCTTGGTAGCTATATGATGCTTCGGCTCATGCTTTCGGGAGTCGAAGTTGAGTCCGATTATTTTATTTCTACTTTGCTTCGCCGGCCTTGGATTGTTTTGGTCCAATACAGTAATGAACGGAAGCGTTCTTGCGAACGGTACGAAAACGTTTGCCAACGAAGCCGAACGATATTTTTACAACGTTGATACAGTACTTACTGTGCGGCGGTTCTATTTCCTGTTTTCCAAGCCTTGTTGAAATGGAAGACTTTGAACTGACTACACCAACTCCTGATGATTGGCGTTTGGCTTTGCCGATGGCGGACTAGGCAGGCCTCCATCCATGCCGTCGGTTCCATCTTGCCTTGTTCCGTGGTATTGCGCAAAGCGATGATCTGCCAAGAACGAGGACACCTTGGCTGCCAACATGTGGTGTCGAAATGCAAGGTCGAACAGCACGAAAGGCCCGGATGCGGGTTACACCTTCTCCAGAACACGAGAAAGCAGGAATCCCCATTGGTTCTGAACAGTCCGCGTAGCATTCTCGATCAAAAACAATAATATCTATCGATACTGTATTACTGTAGGAAGCTTTGTTATTTTGGAGACAAAGTTATTGGGCCGTTGTTGCTGCTGCCAGTGGCAGTAATTTCCTTGCCGCCGCCACCGCCGATCTTTAGGGCATCGACCTCTTCGTCGTCCAGCTGGCGCACAAAATCGGCGGTAAACCTCCCAATCACCTTTTCCTTGTTGACCTCTTCCCCCGTGAGAATGACGCCGGTCATTTCGGCGGAGACCGATTTCCCGCCCCTGCCAATCATTTTCTGGGCATCGATGAACCCCTTGTAGATGACCGTGCCCCCGCCGCTCTCCTTCGGAAGCCTCACCTTCCACCTGGGACTGAGCTGGATGCTCCCCCTGGAGAGTCTGGATGGCTTGGTGACCCACCGACCGGAAGACCGACCTTGGGCGGTGGGCATTGCGCTGCTGCTGCTGCTGCTGCTGCTTCCGCACGAGTATTCCACGGAAACCGTCCCCTTGTTGAACTCGCCGGCAAAGCCGGCAAAGGTTGCCAGCGACCGGCACGTGCGGGGCGAATGCGAATCGGTCCCGGAGTAAAAAGCCGACGCCGATCGGTCCTCGAGGACCCTCCACTGCGTCCCCCTCATGGTTTTGAGCACCATGGCATCGCTCATCTGCTGCGCTTGGGTCTGCACCGGCGGCTCGGTTCCGGGAGGCGGAAGGTACGAGTAGCCCCCGGTGGTGGTACTCGTAGCGGTTGCCGCGGCCAGCAGCGAAGGGTTGTCCCAGACCGTGCCCGGCTTGGAATCGGGTCTCGGTGCCGGAAGAGTGGATCGATCGCCTTGTTTTGGAATCGTCGCTCGGGCGAGTGGTGTTGGTGCTGGTGCTGGCACGTGGGACACCAACGGAAACAAGAGTCCCCGGCAACAGTGGCTTGCCAGACCAACAATCGCCAACAGCAGCATCGGTGCCGGTGTGCTGGAACTCCGCCCACGGCGATACCTGGTGACAGAACACGTTGCCGACATCGCCAGCCGCATGCCTCTTTAGAATTTTAATGCGTCCATCCTTCATAGGCGCTTGCCCCCAGTTCTTGCTACTGATCTTTTGTTGCGCCAGTACTGAACTAGTTCTATGGATGAGCTTGCTGTCATACTTGTTACTAGAAGTACTACTAGCTAGTTGGCTGTTATACTTACTACAGTAGTTGGGAACAAGTCCAGTGAGTACGGAAGACGCTCAATATGGCTGTAGTACTTGTGCAGTTCTAGATGTAGCTTGTAACTGCTACTAGTAGTAGTACTAGCAATATCACTAGAAGAAGTATCACGAGCAAGAATATCACCAATACTAGTAGTAGTAGTAGTAGTAGTAGTAGTAGTAGTAGTAGTAGTAGTAGTAGTAGTA